CACTTTTTCCTGACACAATACGTACGTTTTAGTAAAAATAACATCTTAACTTTATGATGGTATGCACACACACATAATATAGAAGAGAAATATCAATAAGAGAATAATAAACTGTACCAGGTAAAAGAAAAATCAAGGTTTAACACTTACGTCATGGTAGGTTAGGTTAGAAAAAAATCAAGGTTTAGCACTTACGTAAGGTTAGGTTATGTTTTAAAAAATAAAGGTTTAACACTAACCTAAGGTTAGGTTATGTTAGGAAAATCAAGGTTTAACATTTACGTAAGGTTAGGTTATGTTAGGAAAAATCAAGGTTAGGTTTAACACTTACGTTAGTAGAAGAGATGGGTCGGCGTACGGGAATGGAGGCTCGTTCCGAGGCAGAGGGCAGGCTACTGGCCCTCAGGTGAGTCACCATCACTGTCATCCACACTTGTCAGGGCCTCCCTGACAAATCCCTCAAAGTCACCATCACTGTCTCTGTCTCTGTCACTATCACTGGCTTGGGCTGGCTGTGGTGGGTTGCGGGCGAAGAACTCAGTAATGCTTTGTTGACGGCTAGTGTTGATGTTGTCGTGATATACCTTGATGTGCGGCTCCATAGTCTGCAGCAGCTGGGTAGTGAAGACTTCATACCGCTTATCGTCAGGGTCGTCGGAAAGGAGGAGCTTCAGTTTCTCTACACACTCGATGGCACCCCTTACATTACCATGCGATAACTTGTGTTCTTCTTGGGATGACGCACCGCGTGTCTCTTCACTCACGTGATCGTCTTCTAACATCTCGTCGGCAGTCACATCAGGATCCCTTATCACCTCCATAATGTCGTCGTTGGTGGTCTCGGAGAAGCCTGCAGCTGTAACACTCTGCGCAGCTTCTCTGGCAAGGCCCACTGCTACTGCAACAGTCTGAACCTCACCAGTCACAGGTTGACTCTGCCTCCCACCTGGGATACCTTGCAACACGTCTCCATGCGTGACTAACCGTTGCTACAGACAGCTGATCCCATGCCTCCACCAAGAAGTCCACAGCTTTCTTGACGTTAAATTTCCTCCAAAAGTGTTTGACGAGAACTTTTTGCTCCACCAACTGTTGTTCCTCGCCCTCGTCGCTCTTCGCTCTTGCTATCGGTGTCACCCAGGTTACGCAACTCATCCTTGGTGTTGGTATGGTCGTTCAGGAGTTTAAACTTCCTTGCAGAGAATGCAGCTTTCACATTGTAGAGTAATTCTTGGTCCATGGGCTGGATTAATGACGTAGTGTTGGGAGGAAGGAAGACCACTTTTACATTGGGGTAACGATCCAACAGTAGGGGCGAGTGTCCTGGTGCGTTGTCAAACAGCAACAAAATCTTGAATGGAACATTCTGTTGCTCACAGAATTTCTTCACTTCGGGAACGAAACAGTCATCAAACCAGGAGAGGGACAGAGTAGAGAACATCCATGCCTTATGTGCGGTCAGCCAGTAAACATTTAGCTTGGTCATGTCCATGTTCTTGTAGGTGTGTGGCTTGCGGGCTGTGTGGATCACTGATAACTTGAGCTTACAGGAACCGGAGGCATTGGTGGTAAAGAGGACGGTGATGCGCTCCTTCTGCAACTTCCGGCCCTGACATTGCTGGCAGACTTGACAGCGAAGGTCTTGGAAGGTAGCTTTTTCCATCACAGACCGGATTCGTCCATGTTGAACACCTGGTCATCGGTGTACTGTCCTTCCTCCATAATCTCACGTAAGAACGGAGGAAAATCCCAAGCCGCAACACGGCTCAGCACTCGCTTCTTCACCACCAATGTTAATGTTGGTGATCTTGTTCCTCTTCTTAAACCTGTGCAACCACCCAGAGGAAGCATTGAAGGGTTTGGGCTCTGCAATTCCCATCTTACGTGACCCTGCTGCGTACAGTTCACGTGCGTACTCCTGAACTGAGCACGTGTCGACCGCCATGTTCCGTCTTGCCTGACGAATCAAGTAGCTCACAAGTAACTTCTCCATCTTGAGAAGCACCTTGTTGTGGCAATACTTGATCATTGAAGCACCTGCAGACTTTGTGATGTTCATGTGTTCTTTTATCTTGGCTGCATCCTTCTTTATCGTCCGGATAGTAGATTCGTTCACACAATACTGGCGCACCAAATCAACCTATCTTGTTCCTTTCTCCAACTCTCGGATGATCTTGTACTTCACTTCGTAGCTTAGGGCACGTCGTATCTTCTTTGGCTTAGGGCGGCTGGGTCCAGGTAATGCAAGGTTTTTTTGTGGTGGTGGTGGTCCGGTGGCAGCCATTCTTATGGAACAATAGATACCGATATACACGGTGTAGCCGGGAGGGGTGTAGCTGACGCGGGTAGGTCAAGGGGCTTCATCGCTCACGCGGCAGGGCACGTCATATTACATTAAACCAATCACAGCTAGAGGGGAGGGGGTAAGGATGCGTGGCGCAATCACAGTCCAAAATGTCATATGACGTCGCCGATAAAACAACAAAGACATACACTGCGCAACCTACTCGCGCCGCTTACCCAACATGGCGGGAGAGATGGCGGGAGGTTTGAGACCAAAAATGGTGCGGCGCAAGATGACCGCCAGCCACTCTCCTCGTATATGAGTAGATGCACCGCGCAAAGCGGGAATTCCGGTTCTGGCGGGGTACCGCGTAAATGTAGAAACGCGTAAAACTGAAACGCGTAAAGCGGGGTATTACTGTATTAGAATTTTTAGATTTTTTGTTCAGAGTTAAGGAACTTCAGCATTGGTTGACCTTCTGGCATGGGGTTTTAATATTACTTTGAAACCAAAAATTTATCAAATGCTCAGATCGTCCTTTTTCATTCAGAGACCCCCTCGGCCTAAGAGAATCCCACCTTGGTCTCTAGATAAAGTTACTAAATTTTTTGAGGCCTAATTACAATATAAATCTTATATTGTGTCCATTTAGGACACAGGATGGCAAGAAATTGTCTCCTAGTCAAATGACAAAATATTTATCTCAGTTAGTAAGTAAAGCAGACCCTGGCAAGAAATTTTTGGCACATGACACCAGGAAATATGCAGGGTCTGTGGCCTTTCTGTGGCATATGAGCCTCAGTCAGATCAAAGAAGTGGGCTTTTGGAGATCTTTAAACACTTTTAAAAACAGCTATCTTCATCTATCTCTGAAAGGTGCTTTACATGTGGTGGTGCTGGGGTCCCCTCCCCCACCAAGTCAATCTCCACAACCAGGTCCTTCTTCCTCATCAGAATAAAGTGAGTATCCTCATTGAGATATGTAAATTAACATTTTACCTTCCGGAAACTGTTCCTAATATTGGAAAATATTCCAAACGGTTTATAATCATAATCTGGACCTAAGCTAGCAGAGCCTTGTATGCAACGTCACCTCCCTCTCCACTTTCTGCTCGGGTATTCAAAGCTAGGCGTCACATTCTGGATTGAACAAAAAGCCGTTTTTATTCTAAAAACCAGATTTTGTGATATAGTCCAGAATGCGGCACAGGTATCCCACCCATCTCCACCCCTCGAGAGTTGACTTTTGTTTACTGCTCGCTCTAAGGCAAGAGATGACGGTGGCAGTGCGTGTGATAGAGGGTACGGGAGGGGGTTTTGAGAATTGCAATTAAATGCCAGGTAGCGACGTGTTCTAATATTACGAATTTTTAAGTAATTATTAGATGTTTTAATTGCTTGTATGCTGGCCTGGTGAGTTAATACTAGGCATTTACATACCTAGGTATAAGCTAGGCATCGCATTCTGGACTATATCACAAAAACTGGTTTTTAGAAAAAACGGCTTTTCCCCGGTCACTTCTATGACATTTTATAAGCAAAAAACAATAACTCAATCTAAATAACATATATAAACAAATACTAAATACTTCACTAGACCTTCGGCGCCAACTTTCAAACATGTCACTGTCACCTCCCCTTCCTCCCTCCCTCCCAGCCAGGGTTTGGTGGTTTTAGGCTTACAGTTTTTATATTATATAATATCACAGACTAAAGTTAGGAGAATATAATTTGCATTGGTGGAATTCTTGCAAGACAGTGAATAATTTTAATATAAACGTTATATATTTTGCATGAGATAAAATTTTTTGTACATTAGTACATTTAAATAAAGTAAAAAAATTTCAACTGTATTTTTGAGTAGATTTACATAAATTTGTTCATTTATTTTCATTCATTTACATGCACACACCATACTAAAAGAAACATAAAAGAAATAAATGACCTTAGTGCAAACCTGTACTGTACATGTACTGAATGATTAGGGTACTAAAATTTTTGTCTCGTGCAAATTATAGCTTGCAATTAAATGCCAGGTAGCGACGTGTTCTCCTAATATTAAAAAATTTTAAGCAATTATTAGATGTTTTAATTGCCTGTATGTTGGCCTGGCGAGTTAATGCTAAGCATTTACATACCTAGGTATAAGCTAGGCTTCGCATTCTGGATTACTGTATATCACAAAAACTGGTTTCAGAAAACAACGTTTTTTTTCACATTTAATTTACATTTCATATTTATTTAATTTAAGTTTCTAGCAGTCCATGGTGTCTTAGAGACACAGGAGGTGTGTAATTAGTGGGTCAGAGTTGTATTGTTGAATTATTACCTGACCTCGGTTGGTCCGGTAAAACGGATAATCCGGCAAGGGTTGGAACCAAAGGTGCGGGGAAAATCAGTGTTGGACCTATAATTGTTCACTTCTACACTGAAGTACCAAACTTTCCTGCATTAGGTCACAATACTATTATGAATGATGTGTAACTTGTAAATTACTGACAATCTACCTTTACAATTAACTTTACATATATCTTGCAAACTAAAAAAATGGAACACAAAATACCATAGAGTACTGATTTGAAGATCAGTTATTTATTAAATTTAAGCAAACTTTATCAGAGCAATTACTATTGGAGCAATTACAATTGATAATGAACGGGCTTTTGCCTAATACTGTATTGTAAAAGCAATTAAAGTAGTTAACCATGATGTTTACCTTCCAGGCTTTGCTTGTAATCCTCTTCAGAGGTTGAAACACAGGTGGGTGATATGAGAGAATGAAGTTAGCTCTTATTCTCTCTGCCTCATCCATCACTTCTTCTGTGAGGTCATTAGTTAGCATCATTGTCTCAATTTCCCTATAAAATACAAAATTGCAATTAAAAATATTAAATGCAAAGTCAAAATAAAGACAATTAAAGTATTGTGTGATAAATAAGGTACAGGCATCCCCGGGTTATGGAAGAGTTCCGTTCCTGAAAATTTGTCCATAATGCAGGACCATTTTTCTCATTGACTCCCATTATATAATTTGAGATGCGTTTCAAACAAATAATCCAGAAATTATGCCGAGTGCTGCATCGGTTGGTGAGGTGAGGTGGTGCGATCAGAGTTATAGAGAGTTAGCTCCTTAAAACATCAAGTTTAATGTCCAACTTAATTCCGTTATGGAATCTTTTATCACCACTGCTTTCACTTGAACTTGATGGTCTTTTTCCACTCATCTTGAATAAAGATACATAGATCCAAAACTGAACACAAACTGGGCAAAGAATTCAAACTGAATAGGGCCACAGTTGCTTTTGAGGGTAGCTGAACTGTCCCCCAAACGTCTTTTAGCAACCACCCAAAATCCACACGATATAATTATTAAAATTTCGGTGATTTTTTTTTCATTTATCAAAATTCCACAAGGTCGAATTTTTGGGCCATATCAAGAATTTTGTTATCATAATTTCAAAATTCCGTAAATGAAAATTTCCGTAACACGAGGGATGCTGTACAGTGTTGTACCTCATGGACCTGGAGCCGAGTTAACTGCTACACAGTGAGTTAGAAAACATAAGGATGTTTCTCCTTCCATGAATTTATATGAGATAGTTGTCAACCAGTGAGATTTACCAAAAGCTAATGGGTATTTGGTAATATTGTACCCTGCATAAATGATATACTGTACTGTACTGTAATCAGCAAACTAGATATCAGTCAGACATTACCCTATCAGTGATAATTCAAATCCATATGACAGATAGATACAGTAGATGGATGGAAAGTGAATGCCAAATCCTCCCCTAAAAAAAAAAAAAAAAAATTATAATTAAATTTTCTTTGGAAAACAATATCAATACCTGAAAAATATATCCTTACCAAAACTTACTTTTTACTATGTGGTTCAAGTAAGAGTCCTACATTGTCCCAAGACTCTGCTAAAGATGTGGAGGCCAGGCTGTTTAGACGTTTCACAACCTCACTGAGATTCATACTGTAAACAAGGAAACAACTTAACACACAAGAAGAAAAAATTCTTCAGCTGTACATAAATGTTTACAATTTCATTGATGCAAAATTCTCTTAATCATCACCATCATAATCAGTGTGTGTGTGCAAGGCATCTAGTGTGACAGCATTACATTAGTGTTAAGGTGCAAGCACTGCTTGCCTCCTCTTCCTTTCAGCTACCGCCGCTGGCTAGCCCTTGTGGTGAACAGAGAAGCAGCTTTGCCTAAGTCTTCCCCTGCCAGTACACAGCCTCTTCACCATCAAGACTCCTGCTGTGCCTCCTCGTGGCAACACACGGTAACTGGGTGCCTTGTGGGCCCAGGCTAGACCAGCAGGAGGCCCCAGAAGGACAGTGCATAGGCCCACTGGCATGTGGACACATCCTGGGACCTACCAACCACTGCCCTGCAGATTAACCTTGGTAGGTATAAGGCTACGGGAGTAATCCGCCAAACGAAAAATCTGCAGTAGAGTTCTGCATCATGCAGCCATGCTTACAAAGCTCCAGTAAGACCCCCAACGGAGGTAAAGGCGAAAGAAATAACCAACATGGGAACCCAACGACTACACCGATGGACGAAGGCAATGCCTGATGGACAGGCTACTAAGGCAAAACCCAACAAACTGGGCTATCGGCAGTCCACAGCAACTCTCTCTTTCCTTGGTCATTACAATTACTTGCACCACTGGATCAAGAAAAGGGAGAGCCAAGATGTGTGGTTGCAGCCTGCAATCCTGGCTCACCAGATAAATCAACTCACGTGCAGCAGCAGCAGGCCTATACACCCACGCATGCACGTATGTTCCTACGGACACTGCTGTCCAACCTGTCACCTCTCTGCCCTTTTCTCATAAGAACTAGTTTTCTCTGTATGAGACCAAAACAGATGTCTGTGGCAGACATTCCTGTTGCCAGAAGGGTGGAGCATTATGCCGGGCAACTACTTTTGCTGCATCTGTGCTTGCCAGAACCAAAATTGCACAAGCTGTGATTGTGCGAGAAACAACCGCTGATGTGTGCGGTGCAGAAAGGGGAACAATTGTCGGAATCCCCAGGGCAGGGAGCTGTCACAGGAGGGCACAGTGGACATCGCCCAGACACCACCACCCGATGATATCCTGAAAGACAGTAGTGAGTTCACTTAGTCTGAAAATGTAGTGCCAATAATTGCTGCTCCAACATTAGCAGATGTCCACGAGGTGAATGACAGGCAGCCACTGTTATATATTACTGTAAATAATTGTATAAAGAAATAATTTATATTGTTACAGCAACAACTGTATTTATTTACTTCAAATGTTGATTATTTATATGTAGACTCACTGTAGGGAGGTGGATTTATATGGAGACTCACTGCAAATAAACATGTGATTTAGAAGACTGTGCCTCAATCTCTCCTACATAAATAGCCTTAAGAAATGAAGACACCACAGAATTTGGCGACGAGAATGAGATTGCTTTGTACAGTAAGGCTTACAGTATTACAAGATTCTTTTGATCCTTCCACAGATGATTTCACTAGTTACAATGAGAGATTAGAACAATATTTCTGTGCAAATGAGATTGGCACTTATCCAGGTGATGCCAATGATGCCACAATTCAGGCTGCTAGTAAAAGAAAAGTTGCTGTCCTGATAACTGTCCTGGGTAAAAGTACCTACAAATTACTACAAGATTTATGCAGTCCAAAGTTACCCAAGGAACAGACTTTTGATGAATTAATTAAGTTACTGACAGACCACTACAAGCCCAAAAGACTTCACATTGCTGAAACTTTCAAATTCCACAGATGCATTCAGGAAGCAAATGAGTCCATTGCAGATTACAGTGCTAGGCTAAGACACAGGGCTGCAACATGTGATTTTGGCCAGTTCCTCACCAGAGCATTGAGGGATCAGTTTGTAAGCGGGATCCACAGTGCTGAGATCCAAAAGAAGCTGATTACCGCCGAAAGATCATTTGAAGAATGTCTGAAAATAGCCCAAGCTCATGAGGTTGCTGCCGTTGAGACGCAGCAGTTCCGGAATCAAAATGCGCCTGTTCACCAAGTTCAAGCTGCAGATAGTGATGAAGAAGTTTCGGTGCATCAAGTACAGCATTCAAGAAAGTCACCACAGCCAGTGCGCAAGGAAAGGGCCATGCCCAAGCAGTATAACCACTCCACTGCTAGGGAAGGAAATTCTTCAGGTCAAGCCTTCTACACAGACAAGTGCATCTCGTGTGCTAAACCCGGGCATAAGAGAGGAAATTGCCGGTTCCATGACTATGTGTGTAACAAGTGCAACACCAAGGGACACATCACTGCAGCATGTAACAGGAAAAATATTCACACTGTAAGGGTTGAAGACAATGAAGTACAAGATGTTCTACAACTTCAAGAGCAAATACATACTGTGAATTCTGTACATACCAGTACAGGTTGTACCTCTCTAGTCCGGCATTTTGTGGTCCAGAAACTCCCGTGATCCGGAACGATTTTAGTTTGTCCAATAGGTAGATAGGCAGCATTTTTTTTTTTTTTTTTTATTATTACTTATCTGAATTATTATTATTATTGCAGGAGTATTAAATTTTTGCTTCTCAGGCCCCAATGTGGGTCAGTGACCTATGCCCGGGTGGGCTAATCCCCATAAAAAAACAACAACAACAAAATCGCGGGAAATTAAGGTTTGTTTACATCCGGCAGTTCGGCTGCTCTCTCTCTCTCTGCTTGTCTATACAGAGTACAACATTTAACCCTTCAATATATATGAGCAGTAAATAAGTGTTGCTTTCATATTCTTATATAGAGTAATGACGATATGTTTTCACATGTGCGCACTTACATACGTGCAGTCTCACTTTTTTTTTACCATTAATGGTTAGCTACTTATATTGTTCCATTTATTAACATTAAATAACATTACAGGTACTTCAAACAACCATATTATTTTTTTTACATTAATTTTACTACAGCTACAATCAGGGTCTTATTTTCTTCATTTTTATATGTAGAACCAATCAGTCACTGGTTTTGTAAGCTTTAACATAAACAATGCCGGCAGCGGTCTCGTCTCCTCTAATATTCCACGTATTATTAATAAATTGTACTGTTAATTCTGCACACACAAACATTAATTCAATAAAAACAAGTTCAGAAACATTAATTAAAATATATATGAACAGTAAATAAGTATTGCTTTCATATTCTTATGTAAAGTAATGACGATATGTTTTCAAGTGTGCACACTTACATATGCGATCTCTCTTTTTTCTTTACCATTATCGTTAGCTACTTCTATTGTTCCATTTATTAACATTAAATAACATTACTTAAAACAACCATATTAATTTTACTACAGCTACAACCAAGGTCTTATTTTCTTAAGTTTTATATGTAGAACCAGTCAGTCACTGGTTTTGTAATCAACGAAAACAATGCTGTGTCATTTCCTCGTGTGTTTTAATATTCTATGTATTATTAATGAATTGTATTGCTCATTTTGCACACAAACATTAATTCAATAAAAAAGACATTCAGTAATAAACAATAATGAATCTTTTGTACATAAGAGAAATGACGCTGTTTACACGATTATGCACGTCGTCTGCACGTTGGCGGGCCGTTCAAACCGGTCGAAATTCAAGTTTCCGCAGTCAAAATTTTTATTGATTTTTTTTTTGTGTGTGTTCCAATAAAATACGTTAAGAATTAAAAACTCACGAAATTTGAGAAGCTACTATACGACATTTAACCCTTCAATATGTCTTCAAAGAGACCATGATGCAGAGAAAGTGGTGCTAGTGCTTCCAAGCATAAGCACAAGTCACTATCTATCCAGGAAAAGGGTGAATTTCCATGGTCCAGCACCGGTCAGGTTCCGAGGTTGCCGGACTAGAGAAGTACAACCTGTACTACTGCAAATGCTCCCATTAATGTTTCTTTGAGGATTGAAAAGAATGATGTTACCATGCAGTTAGATGCAGGTTGTGCCATTTCTATTGCCCCTGAAGACTTGTATGAGAAATATTTTTCTAGATTACAATTAAAGCCATCCAAGATACGTCTCCTCACTTATACTGGTGAAAACCTTAAACCATTAGGTGAAATATAAGTGGAAATTGATTACAAAGGGAAGCAGTTTAAACTTCCACTAGTGATTGCTCCAAAAGGTTTAAGTGCTTTGCTAGGAAGGAACTGGTTGTTCAAACTGGTACCTGATTGGAAAGATGTGTTTTTTGTAAATCATCTTCATGCCTCTAAAAATGTTCCAGATGTTTCCACTATTATAAAAAACTACAGTGAATTGTTTAAAGATGAGCTAGAATGTTATAATGGTCCAGAAGTTGAACTCACTGTTTCAGAAAATTCAAAATTTCACAAAGCTAGACCAGTTCCGTATGCCTTTCAGTCCAGAGTACAAAATGAGTTACTGAAAATGGAAAGTGATGGAGTAATTGAGAGAGTTTCATGTGCTCCATTTGGTGCTGCTCGCATTGTGTCTGTGAATAAAAGAGATTCAGATAAAGTCAATGTGTGGTGATTTTGGTGTGACTTTCAACAAATGTGCTGATGTAGTAATGTACAGTCGGCCATTAACATACGCTTGGGTTAGGTAACAGAGATACCCGTGAATGTTAAAAATACGTGTACTTTTGCTGCCCACCCCCCCCCCTAAAAAAACCCTGGCTCCCCATGTCCTTATTTACCATATATACCTGTGTGTAGTTCAAGTTTTTAAGAACAAATTATTTGGCAAAAAATTGGGGATCGACCTCAAAACGGGTAATAGTTTCATTAGGTTGAAAAATATTTACCAGTAACTACCAGTAAACAATGGAAACAACGCACCAACGCACCACCAGTTATGAGTGTCGGTACAGTTGCCAGGGCAGATCTCTTGCGTCATCATAACAAGCCCAAAGTAGCCAAATGCATGGTATGCACAGGACGATGTAAAACATAAAGTATTCATTTTTTAAAGTTTATTTATAGATACTTG